CTACCTCGTGAGCCACAGCCACCCATTGCCTCTACTTAATTAGTCTTGTGTGTGTGTGGCTCTTTCCCCCTTTGTCCTGTCATCATTAAACTCTGATGTCCTGGACTCTTAAGTAATTCTGTTCTGTCTCAACAGAAGTTCCTGATATTGACCAAACTGAAGCTCATCTCAGTCTTCAGCAGCATAAGGACCTTAGCCCTCTGAGGACCTGTTGAAAGATTTACTCTACCTGACCTCACCCCCTCAACAGATACTGTGCAGCTCAGCCTCAGGACAGGTGAGGTCATCTGTATAAACCTCAGCTTCTTGGCAGTAATACAAACAATCCTCCTCCTGGTTTCTGTTATCAGTGTAAAGAACAGTAATCCTCTCATTTGCTTCCAGCAGCAGAAAATATACAGGTTCATATACACTCACTGGCCACTTTATTAGGCACACAGTTGTATGCAATTCATTGCAACACTTCTGTCATAAATGTATCAGTTCAATTATACAGGTGCATCTCAGTAAATTAGAATATTGTGGAAAAGTCCATTTATTTCAGTAATTCAACTCAAATAGTGAAACTCGTGTATTATATAAATTCAGTACACAGACTGAAGTAGTTTAAGCTGTTTGGTCTTTTAATTGTGATGATTTTGACCCACATTTAACAAAAACCCACCAATTCACTATCAATAAATTAGAATATGGTGACATGCCACTCAAACCACCTGCAAAGGTGTCCTGAGCCTTCAAAATGGTCACTCAGTTTGGTTCACTAGGCTACACAATCATGGGGAAGACTGCTGATCTGACAGTTGTCCAGAAGACAATCATCGACACCCTTCACAAGGAGGGTAAGCCACAAACATTCATTGGCAAAGAAACTGGCTGTTCACAGAGAGCTGTATCCAAGCATGTTAACAGAAGGCTGAGTGGTAGGAAAAAGTGAGGAAGAAAAAGATGCACAGCCTTCTTTGGTGCCGCAGATGGCTTCCTCGGTTCTGTACTGGAAACAAATTCCTTGTGTGTAACATACTTGGCAATACATTCATTCTATTAATTAACATTTCACTAAAAAGAAACATTTTGAGCTTCATAAACACAGATGTTAAGGTGGAAGTATTGCATTGAAAGATGCGTACAATTGTACAGGTGTACCTAATAAAGTGGCCAGAGAGTGTATTTTGACAAAAGTGTTCCAACTCTTTTTATCCATAGTTTTCGGTGTCGACCTGTGAGCTCAGCAGCTGTTAGGATTTCATTTATGGCACTTTTAAAAACGAGCATTTTAATCTTCAGTTTATGTTCAGACTGTTGCAACGAGGTTCTGATTCAACTGTTTGATCATTTTGGAGGCTACATGGATTTTTGCTGCTGTTGAGTTGTGTTATACTGACAGGTTTGTCTATTATTTGGTCCACCCCTTGGACTAGACTAAATAATACAAACATCTCTCTAGACTTCTCAAAAATAAAAGCATTGCACTTACAGGATCCAGGCAGGTCAAATTGCTACAGCTGGAGGAGTAAATTAGACTTATGTACTGTGGCAGCTTGTCTCGCCAGTACAATTAAAAATGAACCCGTTTCCAGATAAGTGTAAACACAGAGGGCAATAGAAAAATGAATGACTCTACTGCATATTCTTACAAAACCAACTTTTATTAATCCAAAATGGGGCATTTTAGTAATTATCAAGGTGGGAATTAAATAAGTAATGAAATCAACAAGGCAGTGTACAGGACCACCACAGCTTGCATCAGAACATGTCTGCTTCAACTCCATTAGCTCAGCTGAGCTCAGCCGGGTCCAGTTGTGGTTCAGCCATGTTCGCACTAGAACCATTGAAGCTGAACTGACCACAACACAGCTGAGCTTGGGTCAGTGGGGATGAGACATCTGCCAAAACCACATGAAGGACCGGGGAGAGTTAGATGTCATGCACAAAAAATATCACAATGCACAGCTCCAAAAATAGAACTATTCTTCCTTATTACAAGGAACATTATAAAGAGACCTTTTCTCCAAAACAGAACTAAATCAATGCTGATATGTATATACACATGTTCCTTCTGCTTAAAGTAAAATATGAGGCTCTGCAAAAGCAACTTTCAGTATATTTCTGTCATATGATTAACAGGCCAGACAAGTAGCTGGTAAGTTACTCAGACTGTAGTAACTGTCAGCTCTCTTAAATTCTGTATTTGTCTAAATACTGAAATTCTGCTACACTGTTTGGCTTGTGGCATAAAACTGTTGCTGTGGAACCACAAAGTGCCTAACACACCCTTCCTAATGAACTTTACCAAATGTAATCATAATAACAAAAAAGATTTAGCTCTGACACAATGGAAATATTTGGTTTGGCTGCAGGAACTTTTTGGCCTGACTTTGAATTACAAAACTGCAATATATAGTATATATATATATATATATTTATTATTTTTTGGTCACAAATGAAAACAATGATTCAACTGGTCTGTTATATTATTGGGCAGAGTATAAATAGATCATTCATTGCAATAAAAGAAAAGTTCAAATTGCAGCATACAACTTCAAGTCAGTCAAAATAAAACATGCACAAAAAGGCATTTTGTTGTGGAAATATTGCTTCTATTTTTCTAGGATGTAAACAGAATGTTACATGAGTCGAATGAGAAAGGTGACCTGTCTGATTTAAGACAATACGGTCCTTGTGCAAACATTCTCCTCTAGTGACAAATTCATATTAGTCCCAGGGACAAAGTGAAAAACAAAAGGTCCGGCAACTTATCAGTGTTGGGAGCAACTTTAAGGTGTATGTATGGCAAGTTAGCTATTAACAGTTCACATCTGTGATGTACTGACAATTATCACTGAATTACTTTGATACTAAAGAATGTGTAAAACCTGATGATTTTCAGGCAGGGTCTTTAGTGTTCCAACCCTGTCATTATGAGATCAGGATCTTGTAATTATGAGATGTTCATAATTACAAGATCCTTCAATTTCTTTTTACTTTAGTGAATGCAATGTGCTTCCATATTTTCTTAATTAGAACACAACAAATTCATTATGACCCTTTATGGGGAAACTACAGAAGCACACTGCATTCACCAAAGAAAACAAATTAGAGGGTCTTGCATCGTAATTATGACTTACTCTCTCATAAGTACAAGATCTTTTTCTTGTAAACATGAGATAATGCAGGGGCTGGAATACAGCAGAACTTACCTGAACATTATCAGGTGAGCAAGTAAGTCATAACTACGAGACAAGATTCTACATTTGTTTGTTCTTTGGCAAAGGCAGTGTGCCGAAATAGGTTATGGCACCAGACTGATTGGAAAAATAAAACTTGGCATTGAAAACAAAACCATAAAAGAAAAAGCAAACATTGGCATTCAAGCATTTCTTTTGTAAAAAAAAAACAAAAAAAAAACACTGGCATTAAAAAGTATTAATACTGGAAAAAGGACATGAGTTGTCTTTTTCAATGCCAAAGTTGTTTTTTCCCCAGTGACAATCTTCAGATTTTCTTTTTTTGTCATTTTTTTTCCCCATTCAGTTTCACTTCTCTGTCACCGTTTTGGCCTGGAGGGGAGGGCTATGATGTGCATTGCATCTCAGCCTTCGGCTGTTTCAGCAATGGATTTCAGCCATTTCAGGGCAGTTCTTCAGCAATCAGCATCCACACGCATTTTCTTCAGGAAATGCATTTGTCTAGTTACAGCTAACATTAGCTCTATTAGCTATAGCCTACCTGTACCTAACAGGAGCACTTGCTCCAGCAGACCTGTGCCACACCGGCATAATGTTAGTTTAAAGTGAGCTTTAGATCAGGAGTAAAGACACCAATAGAGAGAACCATGGCAGTTTGAGAGCTCCAGCTGAATTCAGGGAAGCTGCTGCAGTAACTATGCGGCCATGCTCGGCTGATAGAAGCCTCAATGGGGAGAAAGCCATCCTCTCCTCATGGATCTCAGACTATGCAAATCATACTCCTTAGCCCCACTCATCGAAGCCCTCCTCTCCCCGCCAAAACAGTGACAGAAGTGAAACTGAAAGAAAAACAACTTTGGCATAGAACAAGACATATGCTAACAAAAATTCAGAAGATTGTGGTTTTCCCATATTAATACTTTCTAATGCCAATGTTTTTTCTTTCCAATACAAATGCTTCAATGCCAATGTTTGCTTTTTCAGTTATGATTTTGTTTTCAGTGCCAGAGACTAAAGTCATACATAGTAACCTCACCTCAATGTTGAGAACCTCTGGCTCAAAGTCCCTTGTTGAACCTGTTAGAAGCCCTCTAACTCCTCCCACATCTAAATTTCTTAAACTGCTCAAAAGAATTCAGTAAATCTGATTCGAACACACTGTTCCAAAAAACCCAGCGAGCTTGTCTTGATCATTGGTTTGATAATTTGGATGACACCCAGTGTTTCAGAATAAATGAGCCTGATGCAGTTAAAAACGAGTCAGGTGCAACCTTTAATGTGAGAGTTTGGAAGTCTGCCTGAGCAAACTGAGAAACTTCGCTCCTTCTGCTCTCACAGGAAGTGCTTGTGTGCTCACACATATGCTCTCACACACACACACACTCACGCTAAATACTGAGCCACGCCAACACCTCCACACACACACCAGTTCACACTGAGGACTGGGCTGCCACACATACACTTTCTCTCTCCTGCTGTTTTAAGCCAGCTGAAGTTTTCTTTGTCAAACCTCTTGACTTCAGGCTTCAACAACAGCAGGATCATCTCACACTGTGTCCATGTTCACAATAACTTACTGTATTCCCAGTGACTTCAATAAATACTCAGCTTTCTGAGGCCGTTTGCCACAAGAGCTGAACTGAGAGGTCTTTGCTCTCTGTCCTTCCTGAGTGGTTCACTGCTACGTCAGCAGCTGCTGGTGCTCAGTCGATGCGGTTACCGCAGATTGTGAACCGGTCAATCTCCAGCAGGTCTTCTTTTGGAGTCCTATGCTTCAGTTCAGAGGCTCCTTGTGACACCTCGTCCTCTTCGTTTGAGGGTGAGGATGCAGGTGGTTCAGATTCAGGCAGAGGAGTTGTAGGACGGCTCTTTGGCGCAGCAGGAGAGATGTTAGTGGGTGTAGGAGGAAACAAATCAGTCCTGGGAGTCGGCTGGGAAGTCACAGATGATGGTGGGCTGCAGGGTGTGGCAGGGATCTGCTCCACCTTGGCTTCACCTGTAAATAGTGACAAAAATGAAATTTAATGGCAGAAATAAAAACTTAGGGATGGCTTTGGTTGCTCAGCTGATCCAGCAGACAGTAGGGGTGGGAAAGTTTACAAATACTCAGATTTTGACAGCCTGTACACTTTTACTTTTTTTTCCCTGATGGCAGCCCATTACCCAGTGAATTACAGTGTGCCCTGAGGGGTGAGGGGGCAATGACAGATACTGGTGAGATTTCTGTAAAAGTTCCAAGTTGGATCAGTAAATCATAAGTGAAACATTGTTAAAACACACGACGCCTTTTACACCCACAGTAAGGTGATAGACAAGCTCCAGCCAAATTTTCCATCAGAAAGCTGCACATAGACAGTTTGTGTAGCACGGAGGATGGCTCGTTTTGATGAAGCTCAAGTTGCAGCTTGTTGTCTACCTTACTACGGCTGAAGGGAGACGTTTGTGTTCGAATATAATATTTTTCAAACTTTGATGCAGAGCGGAGGTGCACAGTCATTGAGAATCACTAAAATCCACATACAATTAATTTACACATAGACACACAAACATCATATAAGATAATTGACACTGCTAGTAGCTCCATTCCTGATGCATAGACATGAGAATGGTGTAAATTTTGGCAACAAAGTGAATAAGCATATTCCAAGACCAAATGAGAAACACAAAAATAATTTTGTTTCAGCATTAAACTGAACATAAGAAAGAAGTAACAACTAGACAGCACTCAGAGTGCGAACCTCCACCTAGGCATCTCATAACAACAACAATCATAATAATCATCACCATAATGCCATTGAACATGATGGTGACATAATGTCCAAAGCCAACAGTTTACCAGACTGGAGCATCTCAGCTAGCCTTAGCAATATGAACAAGCCACACACTGAACAGATTATCTTAAGATTTTGCATCAACATGAGCAATTATTAAATGCTGCAAATGGCTAAATAAATGTCCCATGCAGACTGACATAATGTGTGCTTAGTTCTTCATAGATGCACATAATTTACCCATTTGGCTGCACGCAAATCCACTTTAGAGTTTGTTTTCCAACGTGCCTCCTGCTACACTTATTAGCTCATCTTTATTCCAAGTGTTCAGCAGCACAGTTGCACACTTTCACCACAAGGGGGTCCACATACAGTCAACAGCCCTTCTACACTCAAAATAGTGAAGAAAAGAAAATCCCTTGGTCCAGATCACCACCAAAATCCAATGCATTGTAGCATGGGCCATTGCCTACCGCTCCAAAAATTTCAAAATCCACTCATTTTTTGAGTTATACTGTGAACAAACAGCAGCAGAAATATTAACCCCTTGCCAGAGATAATACAAAGAAACAACTCTCCTCTACACATCTGTCTTCATGCACGAGTTTCATTTTGCTATCTTCTTCTTGTCATTAAAGATGTCTAACTCCATAGTGGAGATCAAAGTATTCCTCCACAACCTGTCTCATATATATACTGTATAAGAGGAAGAAGCTAGAAGCTGGGAGAGGCTGATGTGCTCACAGCCTGCAACAGCAGAAGCACACTTGTTCTGCCTTGAGTGACAGGGAGGGATTCAACCTGCTGGGTCTGTAAATCACACAACCTCTACCCACCTCACTGTTCAATACTCACATCATGAGTAGTCACGATCACTGAACATACAGCCGCACAGCTGGTTTCAGTCACATTCTACTGCATTATGTTAAAACACTGCAAAGCCTCTGAGCGAACCGAGTGCATTTACATTAGGAAACCATAAACCAAACACAATCATTCATCCTATCAGAGACAACTGTGTGAAGCAGCATTGGATATTAACAAGACTGTCCACAGAGAGTGCCCAGCCCTAGGCCATCTGGCTACAACAAGCTCCCAGTTCTACTGCAGACAGAGCTGAGCTGCCACCTCAGAGCACGCAGCTCCTGCATCCCACTGAGATTATACTCTATATGTGTTTTAAGCAAGGCATTAAAAAGAATTTCAAGAATGACTGAGGCCATGAAAATGGGCACTGCACCAAAAGAACATTTGAAACAGCTGAACAGTGTTACCTTTGAATCTGCCAAGAATTTCTAAGAAGGTATTCCTGTCGGTGGTGCACTGCACACACCTTCTCTCACAGTCTCTGATGCTCTGTTTTTCTGCATCAGGTTTATTTTGATCAGTTATTTATCCTAGGATCAGACCACCTGATGTATGGTCACTGTCACAGATTAGTTGCTTTAGCTAAGTTCTTGCTGTGACTTGTGCAAAGGACACGTTTGACTCACTGCATTTGTGTGATATACAAAGGCAGTTCACTGTTCTACCCGACAGGAGCACTGACTACCACACTGTGCTGTTAGCATTATCACTTCATATTTGAAAACTGAACTAATCTAAAGAGGGAAAAAGACATTAGATTTTTAGTCTACTCTGCAGTCCCCTCAGCTCTCTGGAGTGCTTTTCATCTTAGAACTCACCGTTTTGGTTTTATGACCTGCAGCTTAAATGTTATAGTTTAGTTTTCAGATCATGCAGCTCCTCGACAAGCCAACTGTACACTACCTGACAAGCACCGAGCAGCAGACGCAACATTAGCTGGTGAACACAGTGGAGCATTTAATAGCTTCAAAGAAAAAAATCCCAGGAGCTGGTGGAGACCAAAGCAGCATTAAAAGAAGAGTGACTATTGAGTGTAAATTGCCAGGAATAAGACACCAAATAACTACCAACATTTATCTGGATGTGTAAGTAGGGAGGTCTAACATTCACCGTGTCAGTTGTATAAGGTCCTAAGACATATTTGCTGCATTTTTCCCTTGTTTTGCTTAATGTAATTTTATGTAGTTAGCTGCTACTAGTCCTTTGTATGTGTAAATAAACTGCCTTGAGTTCTCAAGGGTTTATTTTACAAAAAAAAGATATGTAAGCTTTAATAAAAAGTTAACCACCATATGGCTTGAAATTACCCACTTCTGCCCTCTAGACAAAAACATGCAGTATAGACAGATGGCAGATCTTTGTGTTTTGTGAATCCAGATCACAGTAAAGACAAAGACCTACAAACGAACACAACTGTGCAGTGAGTCAACTAGAGCAGCAGGTGAAGCATGAGGCACAGACCAAAGTAGTTTAATGTTAGAAATGCAAGCATGGAATCTGAGGTTGCCAACTAAATGTGTGGGAAGAAGGAGAGAGCCATTAATTTCCCACTACCCTAAAGAACTTAGTAATGCACCACAAGCCTTGTAAGCTGCTGCTTTCTCAGAAACCAGATTCATTTGAAATACGAGGGGTGGTAGGAGCTTTGATGGTTGACATGATGGGATGCACCATCAGGATCTTTGTCATTGTAAAGCTCCTGGCTCGGGGCAGAAGCACAGTCTGTGGCACACACAGGAGAAAAAGACCTGCAGGGACTCGGCTGTGGATGACAGGGAGGTACTGCCACCTCCAAATCTTTATCACTGTGCATGTGTGACTTCTGGTACAGGGTCTTTTTAACAGACTGTCAAAACATTTACATCAATCTTAAAGAGAAAATGCATTAATGTAGAAAAGAGGGGCTGTTTTAGATATGTCAACTGTGACATGTAGAATCATTTTCCAAATGTCAGTGGTTCTTGTGTCTACAATACAAAGCTGGAGCACCATACTGAAAAGGGTTCAACAACTATTTTTTTACATTTTATGAATAGATACTGGTTTTATAAATGAAAACGGGTGCTCTGATAGCACACCACATAACTCCAACATCCACCATGGACCTTTGTTGCATGTCTTTGATCTTTACCAATCCTGAGGAAACTCTTTAGTTGCTAAATGCTCCACTGTGTTCACCAGCGAGTCACTGACTGTCCCAGGCAGGATACAGTTTTTTTTTTTCTCCGCTGAAAGCAGCTGCTTGCTGCAGCTGAAAACAGCACTGAGTGCAGTGACAGTGAACCAAAACAGTAAAGTTTCAACTGCATAGCTGAGCAATAAAGTGAAAGTCACTTTAAGGCTCTGTCAAGCCTTGGACAGCTGCCGATTTAGGTGATAATTCTCTGTAGGTTCATCACTATAAGCGTGTCTACAACGTGTGCACATTAACACACCACACTGTTTCAGAAGCTTAGTGTTTGGCTGATAGAACCTGGCCTGCATATAAACACAACCTGTGTGTATGGTTTACCTGAAGGTGTGGAACATCTGGTCTGGTCTGCTTTGCTGGGGCTCTTTGCAGAGGAGGATACAGTGGTCGAAGACCTCTCGAACAGTTTGCCCTCCATGTTGGCCCTCTTGACATAAATGCACGACTTCCCCAGCAGAACGATGCTATTCAATACTTTGAGTGTCACGAGACTATAGAAGGAGAAAGCTGCATTTAGAGAGGCGCATTTCTGACTGAAGAATAAAAAGTACTGTGGAGCTGCACCAGAACCACTGAAACCAACTGGTTAAAAGCATTTGCAACTCTGATGTAAGGCTAGCCATATCCCTGTCTATTCACAAAAACTTTGTTGTGTGATCAATAATCACAATACAGTGCCTTGCGAAAGTATTCGGCCCCCTTGAACTTTGCGACCTTTTGCCACATTTCAGGCTTCAAACATAAAGATATAAAACTGTAATTTGTTGTGAAGAATCAACAACAAGTGGGACACAATCATGAAGTGGAACGAAATTTATTGGATATGTCAAACTTTTTTAACAAATAAAAAACTGAAAAATTGGCCGTGCAAAATTATTCAGCCCCAGCATCATGAAGAACAAGGAACACACCAGGCAGGTCCGAGATACTGTTGTGGAGAAGTTTAAAGCCGGATTTGGATACAAAAAGATTTCCCAAGCTTTAAACATCCCAAGGAGCACTGTGCAAGCGATAATATTGAAATGGAAGGAGTATCAGACCACTGCAAATCTACCAAGACCTGGCCGTCCCTCTAAACTTTCAGCTCATACAAGGAGAAGACTGATCAGAGATGCAGCCAAGAGGCCCATGATCACTCTGGATGAACTGCAGAGATCTACAGCTGAGGTGGGAGACTCTGTCCATAGGACAACAATCAGTCGTATACTGCACAAATCTGGCCTTTATGGAAGAGTGGCAAGAAGAAAGCCATTTCTTAAAGATATCCATAAAAAGTGTTGTTTAAAGTTTGCCACAAGCCACCTGGGAGACACACCAAACATGTGGAAGAAGGTGCTCTGGTCAGATGAAACCAAAATCGAACTTTTTGGCAACAGTGCAAAACGTTATGTTTGGTGTAAAAGCAACACAGCTCATCACCCTGAACACACCATCCCCACTGTCAAACATGGTGGTGGCAGCATCATGGTTTGGGGCTGCTTTTCTTCAGCAGGGACAGGGAAGGTGGTTAAAATTGATGGGAAGATGGATGGAGCCAAATACAGGACCATTCTGGATGGAAACCTGATGGAGTCTGCAAAAGACCTGAGACTGGGATGGAGATTTGTCTTCCAACAAGCCAATGATCCAAAACATAAAGCAAAATCTACAATGGAATGGTTCACAAATAAACATATCCAGGTGTTAGAATGGCTATGTCAAAGTCCAGACCTGAATCCAATCGAGAATCTGTGGAAAGAACTGAAAACTGCTGTTCACAAATGCTCTCCATCCAACCTCACTGAGCTCGAGCTGTTTTGCAAGGAGGCATGGGCAAAAATTTCAGTCTCTCGATGTGCAAAACTGATAGAGACATACCCCAAGCGATTTACAGCTGTAATCGCAGCAAAAGGTGGCGCTACAACGTATTAACTTAAGGGGGTTGAATAATTTTGCACGCCCAATTTTTCAGTTTTTTATTTGTTAAAAAAGTTTGAAATATCCAATAAATTTCGTTCCACTTCATGATTGTGTCCCACTTGTTGTTGATTCTTCACAAAAAATTACAGTTTTATATCTTTATGTTTGAAGCCTGAAATGTGGCAAAAGGTCGCAAAGTTTCAGGAGGGCCGAATACTTTCGCAAGGCACTGTATATTTGCATTTTGACAAAGTTCATAAATGTAATTTTGGCAGTAAATCAATAAAATGTTTATTTTCCAATCCTGTAATTTGCAATTTGTAATCATTTGTATGATGGATTCAGAGTAGATTTTGATCAACAAACAACAAAATAATGAGGATTGTTTTCACTGAGTTATCACAGTGCGGTCTGGAGCAGGGCCACAGATATACTGAACCTGCTTCTTCTACCATCTGGTTTCACTCTCCACTGTTCACATCCTACCACTAACACCAGAGTTTCTGGCCTTTGCTGTGAGGCCCAGACTCTGACGCTGTGATCAGAGAGAGACGGACACATTTGGGTCTGTGGACCGCTGCTCGCTGCGACAGGCCATTCCGAACCAAGAGCGTGTCAGTGTGGCTGAATCTTTGTCAAGGCACTGTGGTCTGTTCAAGCCAGAGCTATTTTTAAGTTGGGGGTGGGGGAGGCCAGAGATTGTAGTAGAGATGACAACACTGCTTCTTCACCCTGAGGGAAACTACAATGGTACGAACCCAATGGGATTCAGCACATGAAAATGAGCGGGGCTATCAGCAGCTCAGCACAAGAACATAACACCACAGTGTTATAAAAACATACTGTATCTTATCACCAGATTAATGTGCATGAACAACTCCCACAAAATCAGTTTCAGCTTTTAAATGACCAATTAAAATACATGCAGCATATGTAAAATGAATTTGCCATGTTCCGTACCACAAGTACAGCAACATGCAGCTTACAGCATCCCTCACTTTGAAATGTTAGGCAAGAAAATCTACAGTAAAATCAGGTAATAATGTTAAAGACTATCGTACAAGCTTGACAGACTTACCCAAGGTAAAAGAGGAACACACAGGTATACGAAAGAGCTCCCTGCACCTTCACTGAACTCATTACCACTCGGATAAGCTGTTAGAACATAACAAAGCAGAAGAAATTGAAACTCTTACTTTTAAAACATGACGACAAAATATAATTTGAATAAAGTGAGAACCATCAAGCAGCTATTGCCAGCTAGTGGCATCAAACAACAGTGGTTTAAAGATTATGTGCCAGTGACTAAGCTCTGATATTTAGTGCCTGCATAGCAAAAGACTGCAGCCTCTTACCAGAACAGCCAAAGGCAGAGGGATGAAGCCCATCCTCCGTGCCACTGAGTCACTGTAGTCAGTATAAGCCTACACAATAACAGACAAACACAAATTACAGCACTCAACAAAATTGCTCAGTGCTGTTTATGGAAGTGCAATAACAGTGATATGAAAGAGACAGTTTCTTACATTTTTCTGTCGACTGCTGACGAGATCGAAGGCCAGACTGGCTCTGTATTCACTGTACACCTATAGGCACAAAGCAGGACAATAAAGCCATCGGCTACATCCGGTTTTGTTCATGAACCGCGTGTCACAAGTTGCTAGTGAATGGGACTATGTTTGCAATAATGAAAGCCAGGCTTGGTTCTTACATCTGCAGTGATGTCATTGAACTTGGTGATGAACGCGTGTTTAATGATGTCAACAGCAACTTCAGAGGTGACGACCATTAAGACATCAGGGAGCAGCACCCACAGGTGGTCTGAGGAAAGGAAGCACGCAAGAATTGTGTTATGTGTAAATACTTTTTAACCCTAATTTGTGCTGAGACAGTTTTTAGGGAGTGCACACACTCAACAAGTCTTCCCCTGGATATCGGCAGCACTGCAGCTCTAGATACAACAGGTTCACTTTTGTTGGCTACACTGGAGCAACAGCTGGAGTTATATCTTAATATAGTGACTCTGGTATGTTAATGCCACATGAGACTCTCTGAGCCAGTGTGATGACCATCCAGTTACAACTTTTAGCTAATACTAGCAAGAGTCATAAAACTCAAGGGTCTTAACATAGCTAAATTTGCTTTAATATATTTTTGGCCACTTCTTTTCCCTTTATAAAGTTGTAATGTGTTACCAAACTTGATTTTTTACATAGCTAGCTGTTACAAAGCAACATTAGCACTCATATGGAGTAGTGCTTTAAAACAGTGTCCACACAATGTGAACAATATATGCCCCAATGATTATGGCAGTTTCCATGGGGGAAAACTCCTGAGATTATAGCCAAGAGTTTACAGCAGGTCACCACACCTGTACACTTTTCTTAAAACACTTTGAACAAAACAGTTTTAACTCTCATTCCATATGGAGAAGTGTTTTGTAGATTATTAAGTGAGAGCAGGTGCTTTGTTTTTGCGGTGTAATGCAAATAAAGATGTGTAGATACCACTAAGTCAGTTGCTGGGGACTTGTGGCATTAGTGGACAGCAGCTCTATCAGTATTAGTACATCAGTGTTATGATTTCAGCTGTCAGGGCACATCTGTCATCTACTGTGTCTGGCTTTGAGACTGTCGGGAGGAGCTGAGTGTTTTCAGAGAGCTGTCACACAAGCTCATCTTTGACTCTGCCCTGTCTCATTCACTGAGGTTTGATGGAGAGAAAGATCCCCAAGGTGTAACAGTGGGTCAGCTGAAACAGCGGGAAAGGAGCTACTCAGCATGTTTGTCTCAGTTTTTACCCTGACAGCACTGACCACTGTACTAGGGTGGGAATACTTAACATGCACAGTAGGACTGAGGCGTTTTCAAAAATTCAGCTTTGGAAATAGACAAACTATGGTGAATAAACCTGGGGCAGCATAGTACCCATCTGTATTAACTGCAATACTGGGTGAAAACATATTAAACTGTACATTAAACTGGGGAATATGGACAGTCACCTGGGTTCCATGCAAACTGCTCCATGTTCCTGAGACAGACGATGAGCAGGAGGACGTAGCTGGTGAAACGCTCTTTGATATCTGCAGGATGACAATCACATTTACAACTACAGTCTCTCAGCTCTGGAACAACCTGCCTAAGAAAATGTAAACAGCAAAGACTTCATTCAGAACACAGCTGTAATAGCATTTGCCTTTAAATAAACTTCCTATCTTAATTAAGATTTCTGCGGAGTTCGCAAGTTACGTTTATGACTATTTTAATGCCAGATGAACTGCAATTTAATACCTGCTTCACAGTCAGAGCGGAAAGGCTGAAATATAATGGAAAATCAATAGGGACAATATGGCTAAGTTATTTGTTATTATAGCAGATTTTTTTTTCCATGATAATGGTTTTAAGGGTGTGAATGGAGGTTTAAAAATCAGATCTGTCAGTTTTATTTTCCAGCACTTTTCTTTATTGAGTGGTTGCAGTCAATTTAATTTTAGTCAGTCTTGAATACTAAGCACTAAACACCTATCTAGTGTTAAAAAACAGCTGTAGGTGTTTAGCATGTCATCATTTACACTGCTAGTTAGGGCCATGCTCAGCTCCATAAACAGGCAGTTTTCCAAGATGTGAGTGAACAGTGAGAGGGCAGCGCTGACTAAGGCTTATTGTCTTCTGCTGTCTTTACAATACAGTAGGAGTGACAGAGAAATAAAAAGCACCCTCAGGGAATATAGGAGGACACACGGTATTTAATCTATGTCTGTACTTGTCTTTCAAAGCCAAATGGATAGATTCATAAAAGGTTCTTTCACAAGGAAGAGGAAGTAAGTCTTTGTAAACCTACAGAGTTTCTGTTATAATCAAGGTCTGTCTGTCATCCATCTTTCCAAAAGACACTACAAAAGAAGCTTAGGTTTTGTCTACATGATTTGCTAAAGACTTGGTGTTTGGGATGCAAAATGGCAAATAACTAATGAACTTTTGCTGTGACCACTGGTTAGACTGCTGACCAGCTGAGAAATTAGAATATTTCTGTCTGCTCCTACCAGTGTTTAAATGTCACAGTACTAATATTCTGACTTGAGCACCAATACATCTGAGGGTTTTGATTTCAAAAGGACCCCGAAAACAACTCCCTTTCTCATCCACATGCATGAAATAATGATGGTCTGGTAGATATCTCCGTAGAGGATTGGAAGGAAATTACAGTTTTCATACAAAGGATGTACATAAAACCTGTTAAATTACAACATTTGAATCCCAATACTCCTGACAGTCATAATGTAATGAAGAAACGGGTACTGTTCTATGAGTGATATGAACACATAGCATACATATTTTATACTTGTGTTTTTACCCTCTATAATTACGTTCTGTATACATTTATACTCTGGAAAAATCAAGCATTTGAACTGGTAGCTTTGACAGATCGTCTCTAGAACAGGATCAGAATGTACTGTACAAAAATCAACTGTTTGCTTTCGATAAACTATTCTCTTCCGGGGACAGCGAGAGGCTTGGTCTCTGAAGATTTTAACAAATACTCATTTTTGTGAGCATAGGTTCTGTGCAGACTGAGAACAGCAACGGAGATATCTACTAGACCATCATTAAAAATGATTTTCAATTAAAGCATAAGTACATAACACTGAAGATCTTACCACTGTTGGACATTTGGAACAGGTTGTTTTTCTCAAATTTCTTGAACACACTTCCTTTGATCTCCACAAACTGTTTCAGCGAACCGAAAAACAAATAAGAAAATTCAGTTAGCACCATTATGATACAGAAAAAAAGAGCACGTTGCAGCTGAATTTTATCATCAGTGTGCCAGGTTTATTTTTTTCTGGGACATCTGCATGCAAATCATTTAAGTTAAATACCGTTTATGAGCACGTGTGGAGGAATATATGTGTATATATATATATTGTGTTTGTGCAAAAGCTGTTCAAACAATCACACCAGGGAAATTCTTGTGTCCTAGAATATCATGGGATGCATACATGTGCATATTTACATTTGCACTGTGTGTGTTTGTGCATGTGTGTACTGACATTGTTGGACATCATGATGGTGAGCAGGGACTTGTTGTGAGAGTTGAAGGCCACATTAAGGGTGGAGGCTTGAACCATGATGAGGATGGCATGGAGGACTGAGAGACAGCCACTCAGGAAAACAATGATTTAAAAAGCATTTTAGCGCCTAATACCACTAAACTTAATTAAAAACAATCTAGTCAGAAAACCCACTCAGTTAAGTACCTGATGACAGCTTCTGTTTCCTATATTAATCACCGCTGCTCAAGACCATGTTCTTGCCTTTTAGTTCTAGTCTGTCTGTCTTGTTGAAATAAAATTTAAACCAAGTTAATTCTGATGCCTGTCAGCCGAGACGTGTGCCATGTAAAATGCTTCATCTCCTCCGGTAGTCACAAAGACTGAGTTAGATATGAGCATCAAAAATAACATTGGCAAGTTTCAAAATACAAATCATGTGACTTAGCTCAGTGAAAACCTCCAAACCTTGGCAACAAAAACTGAAAGCAGCCATTATGTTGGTGCGGAGTTGAGCAGGAAGGATACAAACATACAAAACAGCCATGAAGAAGTGAGGGATGACTCCTATACTGTCTCTTTTCCGTTCTTTGGGTTCTGTGGCTGTCCAGTAGAGCGCATCCAGAATGTCTTGACCAAAGGATGAGAAGAGGCGGTCGGCCACCTTGCACAGGAACAGCAGATGATATCACAAGTATCCTGTTTTTGTATGTACTGTATTTTTGTTCTCTTTTGAGAAGAAATCAGACTATTTATATTTTATTCAATAATTTATGAGCTGTTTGTTATTTATCACCTCTCAGCTAAGCTTACGACGAGTTCTTCATAACAGATATTACATTTTAGCAAACTGGAGAAGGTTCCCAGTTGCATAAGATGTGCAGTTTGAGATACATTGCCTCATAACCTTTTTCACATCACGGCATGTAGAAAGTTTGAAAAACATTTTCCGCTTCACAACCTTGACACCAATACTGTTCTGCTAAGTGAAGGCCAATAAATCATACCACAAAAAGATTGCATCATCTCATCATAAAGTAACCTTAGCGCTAAGGCACCTTGCTCATTGTCAGCACTGGACAATACCACCATGACAAGTTTTCTATGTTGTATTTGGTTCATTTAGGTTCTGAATGCTTGATTACAAAACAAGTGAACCATGGGTCAGACTTACACAGAACTGTGTACTCTGACTAAAAAGAGTCATGTTAACTGTAAATCAGGACTAGCCACCGCATCATTATGCGCAGCTATTAAGCACCATTATACCATGTATTAGATATACAACAAAACAGAAACTGGAAATGCATCAATAGGTTTTGTTTAGATTGTGTAAATGCCTTAGGTGATGCTGTAAAGTCAGATATTAATGCATGAAATGTGACGCACCTCCAACATGTTGTAAATGATGTAGAGTTTGATGACAGACTGTCCTCTGATCAGATGGTACATCATGGAGTAATCGACGTAATGCATCATGGAGAAGCACAACATCAGGATCAGGCCCTTCAACATATCACACACCTGTGCTGGCTGCAGCAGCCGTGACCCACTGGCAACACACAAACACAAAAACAACTTGTGAAACCTGTATGACACCAACAGACAACCTGAGCGTTAGAATGCAGAATTGCATGCTGACATACACAGTGCAGTATATCCACAAGTACTGTTTATACTAACATGCACACAAATTAACCTGTTGTCATTTTGCCTGAGTGAACAGTTTGATGCGTTCCCACCAAGACACATATGTTTATGCTTAGAAACATTTTTACCAAAAGTAACACATGCACATATTTGTAGCATTAAATCATTATTTCCACATTTCACTAGTACCTAGACATACAGGTTTATAGTGAGGTCAGAGAAGCCAGGTGAAGGGACTGGACCCCTGGTTTAATACACGAACAAACCAGTGTCACTGAACACTGCTAGTTATGAAGGCTTTGAACAAAACAGTAGGAAAAGACAAATGGGGCAAATACTACATTTCTGTTCAAAATGAGATATCCCTCATAAAGGAAAAGGCACAAAGTAGTGATAACTCAAAATGTAATATTAAAGTTAATATCTGTTATACTAAAGATTATAAGAGCTATCTCCTTCTAATATGTGTTTTTTGTTCCGTTTCTGCTCTTATAAGATTACATCAATGTTCTTCTTATCTACCAAACAGGTTGCAGTACACCAACAAAAACAAACCAAAAAAAAAAAACGTATCAGTGTTTTTCTCTAGACTAGACTTCTTTTTTTTTTAAACCATGGGTACTGCATTGTGGACAGAAATGTTTCAAATGGTGCAGCTAAGTGGAGGAACACACATATGCTAAAGCTGTCACATACTGCAGGAACAGCAAAACGTGTAATGTGTAATAATGCGTACAGCTAATTAATGGCAGTGGCAGCTTGGAAGCATGTTAATAGGAGGGCTGACAAATCTATAGTGGTGGTTGCTCAGTATTTACTATGACAGGGAACAGGGAAGAGCTGGTAAGAGCTTAAGTCCAACACATCCTGGATATTTTCCATGTCAGCCGTCTGACTGGTAAGCATGTCTACAACCACCATCACACGGGTGATTCAAACCCAACTCATCATTCACTGGCTTAAAGACTTTCATAAAGACAAGGGGCCTTCTGGACCTCTGATCTGACTGTTAGGGCATGATACAACCACATTATGCAATGTTTTGCTGCTGCTGTTTCTTTTACCACACTGCCACTAGACCACCGTCATGGCACTCAATAACAGTAGTCTATCTCCACACTACTTTAAAGGGACTACTTAACAATCTTCACTATAAACCACACAGACTAATAGTTGGCCAACAGACTAGTGACCAACATGTGGCAGGACAATCGTTAACTGCTCTAACAGACATCATTTCATTCATTTAAGCAGCTGTTAAATAATCTTGCATCACAATAACAGATCTCATCCACACCCCTCGCAGTTTTTAAAACATGAGAGAGGAAAAGAAATTGTGTTTCAGATGGAAAGGGTGGGAGGTTTGGAAGGTGTAGATGTCTGAACTATTTCTGGACCTGATTCCAAGCTGAGAGAAGCAAAAAGGCCCGAGTTTAAAAATATGTGTAAATGAGCCCAATCAAGTGTCTCACTATCTTCTGAGCTAGTGCAGAGCTGAGCACAGGGCTGCAAAGAGAACAGGAAGAACATCTGGGCCTTTCTGTCCACTGCATGGACAATGATTCTGTTGGGGTTTATTTGTGTCTTAGATAGGACACCCACTAAATCTCACTGATGTCGCATTTCTTCTGTGCACAGTTGGGGTTAACACCGAGGGGGGGCTTGCAGTTTTCTATATCATGTAGCCATGATCAAAGAAAAGATGCAGATAAAAATGCAAAAGATAGGCTGCAATCCAGTATCAGGGAGACATGGGTCTGATTTCTCTCTCTTTCTTGAAGGTATGGCGCCATCCAGTGGTCAGGTCTGCAGCATGTAATACATGAAGAGACCCAAAATAACACTGCTGTCAGTCTCCGTGCACATTTTCCGTCTAAAGTCAGTGCTCAAAGTGAGTGAACAATACACAAATAAATATATTTGAGTAAAGAGAACTGAGGTGAGAAAGATTTTTTTTTTTACACTTAAAAAAATAAAATAAAAATAAAATAATATCTACACATACACACATGAATTGTACATTGTATGAACTGGGTTGCTGCTGTAATCACATAAAAATTGTTTTAAAAAATTGTTAAGTGAGATGTAAATAATAATCACTGGCAATGGTTTTTTTATTTTTTGGAGCAACAGTCCGAACCCCAGCTTTAGTATTCAGATGACTAAACTGCTAACACAGAGCATCTTATTCCCAGCTTGTGCAACACACACACACACACAACACTGGATGCAATAATGTTTAAAGCAGTCTCCACAAAGCAGACTTCACTATCTCCATTCTACAAGCGTCATCTCCGTAACACACACATGAGCACTGTGTTTTAGTGCAGTCAGCCACGTGGTGTATTTCAAATAGCCATTTACCATAGCATATGCCTTTCACACACCAGCAACTCTGGGCCAGAAAAACAAGAGGAAGCTTCATTTGTGATTAAAAACCTTGTTAGATAAGTTGACTTGTGAGCAGAAAACAGCCATTTTGTAGAGCAGCTGGGGATGTCTGTACATGAAAGGAGAAGAGGCAGTTTTCCATTCCTCAACAACAACCGCAGAGAAACACTCAAACAATGCAACTGAGCCTCAAACAATGCTCCAGAAAAGCTGCTCAGGGATCAGTGGGAGGAAGACCTGTTTTATTAAGCAGCCCTCACTTGGAATGAGTGCAACTGCATCACTGACAAGTAACATGGTGGCAAGAATGAGCATGCACTCTCAGCAAACCTTCTCTGGATGAATACGAAATAACAAAACAAAACCCAGATTCATGAGGAACAAACATGGCTGCAGCTTGCAGAATGGGACATGATGTGTGGTGCCAAGCTGAATATAAACAGACAAAACAGAGATGAAGAGACAATGGTGAAAGGATATGGACTGATAATATTTATGAAGATAGGCAGTACCTGCTTCTTCTGCAGTAGGGGCATGTGCGTGCCCTGCAGGGGGATGAAGGCAAGGGAGCAGACAGATTCAGGGGGTGGGGCGCGGGGAGGGGGGGGGGGCGTTCACAGCTGTGCTGCTTTTCAGTTTCAGTTACTTTTTGAAATTACACATCACTTATGTTTTTGTCAGTGTTTGTTCAAAGTGAAAATGACTGTTGATGAGAATCAGATCACTGTATAGCAGAAAACTACCATTACTAAAACGTGCACTGTATCAGTACAGAGTCTACGGGGAGTTGTGACACTACACCATCAGTTTTTTATTTTCCACGTTTTCCAGATTTTCTGTACAAACCCCACGTTGTCCATGCATGGAAACTTCATCAAATACATTTCCTGACTTGTGTCATATCTACAAGAGTGTTTTCATGTAGCCAGAAAGACAAATATCTGATCCTGGTGAGACTATGTAGATACAAGTAGGAATGTAACAAATGTCAACTTTCAGGCTTCGGAGCTTCGTTAGTAATAATCAGAAATACACTGAAATATTCAAATACTAAAATTGAAAACCAATCATCTATCCAACACATGAATATCAGAACAGCTGAATATTTGGGTCCAACCCTACATACAGACAGAAACCTGGCAGCCTCGTTTCTGCTCCATGTCAATGAGTAAAACTGTTGCTACTTTAAGAAACAGTACTGGACTTGCTACAGTTTATTTGTATAAGCAAATGTACTAAACTGGTGTCACACTATTGCAGTGGGGGAGCGGTCGCACAGAATTTTCTGTAGTGACATATGACCATGTTGTGAAAGAGAACACACGTGCCTTCTTGTTAAAAAGTATGTCTGTCATGAAACTAAGAATAAATTCAGTAAGTGTGACATTACTTTAAAATGAAATTCAATCTCCTGCACAGGAACAATTTAATCACAACTTTCAGCTATGCGTGTACGCCTCTATGAATATGTTTACCTTCCTTCATATGTCACATACATTGTATGTATTAAGGTTTTTATCACTGCTTGTATGTTCAGTATCTGCACAGTAGGGCTACACCATTAATCATGATAATGCTGTTTTGCCTAGTTCAATAAATGCAACCCAGCACTGTGCAATACTGACAGATTGCAGTCAGTTATCCTCCCCAGTGTGCCATCGGAAAGTAAACTCCATTCACAAGTAAATCATGTGCACATACATCGTCTGATGTGAGGCGTAGTCAGACCAAAATCCCCTCGCATTACATAAACTGGTTCAACTGCAAATATTGTAGTTGGGGCTACAAACATAAGCTCTTAAACTTAATCACTACTTTAAAAAAGGATTTTAAACAGAGTAAGTATGCTGAATGTTATTTAACTGTTCAACAGTTTTAAGCTTTAGTCAGAATGTCTAAATAGGAAACATAATTTGTTCCCAAAAATCAATGAGTAACTGTGATAAATTGTGATCTTAACAATGAGGAAACAATTTAGTATTAGTTTAAATGTTAACGTGGGACCACACATACAGTAGCCGACAAATTGTTTCTCTTCAAGTGAGACATCCCAAATACTGTAACACAAAACATTAAAATTATTGAGAAGACTAAATAAATAAACATTAAATTTGAGCCAACTGAAAGATGTAGATGTTTTTATTGTTACATCTGCGATCAGCACTAGTTTGACTCGATATTTGTTAAACCTACGGGCTTATCTGTAGACAGGTTTTTCTGCACATATAATTTTACGTTTTTCTCATGTGTATTTATGTGTGAGCGTGTGCACAGGCACTGACCTGAAGCCACAGCATGGCAACGTGAGGAGGCGGAGCAGAGCCAGCAGCACCCTGAGGGGCAGCAGGGTGAAGACATACAGGAAGGCGTCCACACACAGGAAGAAGCCAAAGATCATTAGCTGGAAATGTCACACAGCAACAGTTCCAAGTTAAATAACAATAGTCACTGTCAACAGTGTACAACAAACTAAACCTCCTAGATAAACACTGATTATCACTGGGAAAGACAGTATAGCCTGTGGAGGCTAACTCATTATCTTTCTCTCGACCAAATAAGGACAAGATCTCCAACTAAAATAAGAAATGAAAAAAAATGCAAAAGCATCAACTGGAGGGACACAAACAGTTTTACACAACAGTTAAAAAGCATCTTCTGTCTCCTTTACAAAAGGTTCAATTGACCACCACACGTGACACAACACAAAGACTCGGTCTGAACCCAGTACTGCAGCAGACACATACCTTCACATTTCCACATATACGAAGAACCGTTGCCATGTCATTTTAAAAGAAATGATTCATAAGAAATAAGACAGCTGATGTCTTCTCAGTCCTATTCCTAAGAGGAACAAGATTAAGGCACTGAGGTAAATACTGGCAGAAGTTGGTGGGAGGGGTTTTCTCTCATTGGTGGATTCTGTATGACTTTTCTTTAGGCCTTTTCAGGTACCCATGAGGTGGCTTAGTCTGCCTAACATAGTAAAGACTCTGAGGCCTTTTATATTTACACACATTCCTCTGCTATCCCCAGGGAAAGCCTGAGCCAGTCTGGGTTTGCTTGTTAGGGTGCATTTCTGCAGTGGACAACCTACTCAGCTCCGAAAACAATATACAAACATCTCAGCCACTTCACTGTACAATTTTAATGCATAACTAATTCAATAACTTGGGTCAGGTTACATGTCGTAACTGGATAATGCTAAAAAAAAAAAAAAGTTAACAGCTTGCGTGAATGCATTTCTTTGTTGTACATGAGTGTACACTAAACATTTGGATTATCAAGACATCTGAAGACATAACCTAGCAGCATTTTTCACCTTTTACAGACAAAACAAATAGATTAATAGAGAAAATAGATGTCAGATTAGTTCCCAGAGTGAAATGCTGACACCTGGTGGCAAAAAGAAGAATCACAAAAATATAGTGGTGTTAATTTAGCACATTACAAAATAAAATGCTTTTATATAATTATAACGCACTACCACACCTGTGTGCCCACGTTTATGCAGTCAACAAACCAATTAAGTAATTCGAAAACTAGAGATGACAAATTTACTATTGAAGTCATCAGTTCATCACTAGTGCACTATATGCAAGTGTGAAGTCTGTGTGCTGCTGACAGCAGACTGATGGAGAAAAAGGGGTGCAGATGATTTCTTGGTTTATATTATAGACAGTACCTTCTCCAGCTCCTTGGGAATTCGCATACATGTGTAAACTCTCTGTCTGCGCTCCGTGTACTTTGCCTCATTGTGTTCCAGGAAATAACCTCTGGTCAGCTCCGTGCAAATGAAGCGTGCCAGCGATGGATCTAGAACAACATGAGTGGTAGGGTCAGCACAAATCTGCAACTATTACAGTCACTGCTGAACACAGTGAGAACGCCAACCTGTGGACGAATGAGGGGAAACTTCTGTGAATGACGAAAACTCAGGACTTAACGCGTCCTTAGTTCACGGGATGATTAAGCATGAAGCTGTTCCTGTGTCCAAAAAAAAAAGTTTAAAGCCCATGGCCCTGTAGCTAATCTCCATGGACGAAAGAGAAAAATAGATGACAGATGGCGAAGGATTGTTCGAATTGTGGATAAAGAACCTCGAGCAACGTCCAAACACATTCGAGCTGCAGGCGCAGGGTGCAACAGCTCTGGTAAGAGACTCAGGGGCCCCACTGCTGACACAGAAACATAAAAAAGCCAGATTGGTACCCAGAAATGGTTTTAGACAGTTCCCCGGAGAGTTCTGAAGTGGCCGGTAATGGAGTCCAGATCTAAATCCCATGGAGGACAGATCTCAGAACAGCAGCTGGGAGAAGGAACCCTTCAAATAGCAGCCGTCAAAAGGAATGGTCAATGATTCCAAACAGAGGAAATCAGAATCAGCTTTATTGGCCAGAAATTTGACTCTGGTGCATCGACTCTCAATGTGCATGTACATATCCCCACGCAAGGGGCAAATAAACAGTAAACCAGCATAAGGCTGTATAATACAACACAATAAGCAGTATTAACAAGCAACAAACAGTGCAAACAATGCAAAATAAGCAGGCAGTAAACGAGAGGTGTAGGAAACTCGCGGATGGTTACAGAATTAAACACTAAATGTAAACAACAGACTCAGCTTATTCAGCACACACCCCTGACGCCTATTAAGCTTAACATTACCGTTGTCGGTGAAACGCTGTATTTACGAAGACACTAACGTTCACGCCTCAGCTAATGTCAATTAGCTAATGCCAATTAGCTGAGGCGGTAGTAACGTCGGAGATGTTTGGGAACCAGCGGTTACCTGCTGAATGCTCCGGTTGCTCCCTCCTGGCGGCGATAATGTCGTAAAACCCCAACGTTTCCGGGAGTTCTGGTGTTATGCCGATTTTACCCGACTTGTGCAGATCCTCCCACGGTCGCCTCTGTCTTTTCGTGAGCTCAGTTTTTGTTTCCTTCTCTTCTGACAGTTGAGTCCGCGACAATTCCGCCATCTTTACTTTACCCAAAGCATCCCCAAATGCAACGTCTTCTTCTTCTTCAGCTAAGCAGACTAAACGTTACAATGGCGTAATGCTGCCCTTAACAAGCAACAACAAAGGTGTTGTGTTGTGTTGTGTTGTGCTGAACTAACAGTAACAAATAATCTGCTCATGAAAAAAATAACTCTTTATGTGAGTTGTTGGGGCCTCACATAATACATATAACACAGTTTGACTTAAGAAGTTGCAACCTGAAAAGTCAAATCATGTGAGAATGACTACACTGTGATCACCAAGCCAATCCCAGCTGACAATGGGCGAGAGGTGGTGTCCACCTGGGGAGGTCGCCACTCTGTCTCAGGGCTGAGATGTAGACAGACAACCACACACACTCGCACTCACTCCTATAGGGCAATTTAGAGTCGCCAATCAACCTATGCTGCATGCAAATATTCTTCTTCCTCTGTTGGAAAAAAGTACCAGCCACTGAAAACTGATTAAAAAAAAAACAGAATGGAGACGCGATACGATGCTCTCTTTTTGTGTCACACATCAACATGGATTCCTAGTGGGACTTTTGATGCATGTGCACTTACTTTTTAAACACAAGGACGTATAAGGAGAAGTTACTGGCCATGGCTGCCTGTAAGAATGTGAAGAATGTGCAGGCATCTTTTATATGCCTAGTCGAATTTGTGAGGTTGTGTCAGAGTTTACTAACAAGAATAAAAAGTCAGAATTACGCGATAAAAGCTGTATTTTTTAATCACATTTATGTCATAAAATTTTAAAACTCTGTCAAAATTGTAAGATAATAATGTTATGCAAATGGGCTAACCAAGATAATTGACAAACATATGCTTGTGATTAAAAGTATATGTGTTATGTATTTTCATTCTGAGATTCTGAATAAAAAAAATTCTATAATTGTAATGTTTTTCTGATTAAAATCCAGCAAATATTCAGGAGTGTGTGCTTCTTTGTAGCATGTAGTGAGATGTATTCATGCTGTCTGAGGGGAGGCTCACAGGCCTAGACTTTGAAAACCCCTGATCCATAGGAATCATTAAATGTTGTTGTTGTAGGCCCGCCCATGTCCACTGGGTGTCGCCAAAGTTCCATCAACTTGTCCTGGAGTTAAAGTCTTCCCAACAACAGGCCTGTTCCTACTGAGTTATCTGGATAAGCTTTTTATTTACCAAAATTGTCCAGGTAGTTCGGGTAACTTGCTTGAAACAGGCTCCTATAACTTTCAACATTCACTGGGATTAGTACAGAGAAGACAGATCAAATTCGGACTACATCTTAGAAAACCGATAACCCCAAACATGAATGTTTAATGAATAAGATTGTGGTAAAGATGACACACAAACCCAAATTTTTGATTAGCAAATGTTGTATTTACAGTATTTTTTACTTTTCAGGCCCAGCAAATTTGTTATGACATAACTACAATGGATAATTGCTGGATAAAGAAAAAAAAATCCATGATAGAATACGCTTTCATTGTTAGATATTATTTTTTAACATGTTCAGTACATTAAAAGACTTATGATAAAGACCTGCAGTTTTTTTAAACATATTTTATGCAGTGATTTCATACATTTCCCAGAATGCTTTAAATAACCTTCTAGGGGAAACTGAAGGTGCCTGAACCTGCAGTTTAGATGTTTAATGAAAAGTTAATATGCAAGCGTAAACATTTTCCCAGCTTGTGAATTTGTTTTTGAATACTTGTGGCATGATCATGGTGTCATCTTGTGCCTGCATTGCATTCTGGTCCACTGAGGGTCCAATGGATGTAAAAACCTCCCTCTTATTTCTCCTTCTTGTGCAATGGATTAATTTAAGCGTGATCATTAAATGGCAGCAGAAAATGGCAGCTCCAGCAAGAAGCTTTTGCTCTATTATTCTGAGAGACTGATGCTAAAACCTGACGTTTATTTTGGCTCACAGAATCAATTTTCTGCTATTAGACTTCATCACAGATTCAGGGAATATTTGGACATAATTTCAAATAATTTTCTTTCACCAATTACAAGTAGGAGCAAGCAACATATAAAAAGCTTTCCTGTGCTTGTTGTGTGATATGACACTGTTCAGGAGCGCTACTAAATGGACCATGTAGTGAAACTGCTGTTTCCAGTGACTTACCAAATTATTCAGAGATGATAGCAAATGTTAAAAACAGAACAAAGCTACATGCGTATACAATGCTTGTAACCAAACCAAATTCAAGTCCTTTGTAAGCACGGTTTATTGGCACACATAATGGTAAATCATACATACCAGACATCAGATATAACACTGAACACCTCTGCTATATAATGTACAAATGGTGTCTAATAATACTAGGCTCAAACATATTTAGAAATGTGTTAGCTTCCTTACAAATGCACAAATAAATACCCATAAGATCCAATTGTATAAAGACCTCCATCACTGTTTTCTTCCCCACTTCCAAACAAAAGAGATCAGGGATATAGTATCAATTCAATTAAAGATTGAAGAACAATTGTGAACACAAATACAGGGATCTCAAACTATTTCTGTGGGGTGGATTGGATTTTATCTCTCTGTTGCTTTTAAAATGTTAAACTGTTTTCTCTCTATGCAACAGATTATGCAAGACATATGATTATATGACTGTGTGGCTGTTTGTTATCTTTGTGGCTTTGGTTGTGCACTAGCTAAAGAGAATGAGGAACATTCAGAAAATTTGGTTTTGACAAAGGTAAACCAACATCTATTCAAACCACCCTACAGAAATCTGGGCCCCCTGTACAAAAGAAAAAGCTGCCATATCTAAACTGGTTTCAGTGGCTGCTTTACAGTGGACAAAATAGATTCCACTTCTATTTACAGAGCTACAAATCTTGTAACAGTGTTCCCAAACTGATGAACCCAAAAGGAAAATCAGGCTGATGCGCTTTTAAAAGGTACATACAGCAAACAAAATAAAAAATCCTATAAAATCATGCAGGAAAAGGCTTTAGTATCAGTTTGGGAGTAGGTCGTTAAAGGGAAAGAAGTCCAATTTTAGAGGAGGGAAAAACAAAAACCAAAAATCAACATTAATGCATCAACGCGTGTCAGCAAAGTTCACATACTGATCAGCAAAACTACAATGTGATTGCAAAGGATTCTGAGAGAAGCAAAATACCAATAGACTACGAACACAATCAAACTGTTTGCATGAAATCACAATCTGTGACGACTGCAGTAATGTGGAAAAAACAATCCTAGGACACGATTTCCCCCCATTTGAAAGGAGTCCATAGCGGTAGAGAACTTTTATTTCCTCTTAATTGGAAAAGGAAATAAATAGCAACAAGCAGAAACAAAACAACGGCCGACTGAATTTCCAATAAAAATGCAATTGCCTCAAACAATGTTTCATTTGTCTCCAATGTGGGGAGATGCTTCCATTGGCTTTGTTGCTGTTAAAAAACACACCTTTCTTCACATTTTTTGAGAGATTTTGTTTGTTGTTTTTATTCTTCTTCTTTTCTCCCAGTGTCTACTGTCAGCGTGATGACTTGTGACCTGCAGGTCAACCAATCACAGCTGTGATATTTCACTAGACAAGAGGTCTCTATCTGAGGGTCCAAGGAGGAGAATGTGATCCGGGATATTTCACTGCATTCTTGAAAAAAAAAATGCCCACCATGTTCTATTTTTACCTTATAGTTGCATACAACTTGTATGCGTCTCTTGTCTGTGGATATTGCTGTGCAATGCCGCCAGTTCTCAGCGTTCTCCAAGATGTAACAATGATTCAGAGAAGAAGAAAATATCCATAATTTGACTGGACATGCCAGCGATGAGTTTGCACACAGGGGTGAGATTCAGTACAATGACATGAGGCGTAGAAGCTCTGCCCTCTGGGGAAGGGGAGAAGTTAAAAAGTCCAGTCCACATGGAGTTGAGGAGCTGTTGTTTTCTTCTTCTGCTTTTGTTTTACTGCGAGGGCTGGGGCGCTGTGCTCTCAGGCTTGCTGTCCTGGGCAGCGGGGGGTTTGCTACTCCAGGGGGTGTTGTTGCCCAGAGCTGGGGAGCTGTTGAAGTCGTCCTCGTCGTCCAGGCCATTGGTGGCGTCATACTGGGTGTTTTCCAGCCGAGTGATCAGACGCTCATCCTCGTCCCCGAACTCACCGCCCATCAGGGTCGGCTCGCCAACCACCATCACATCCTGGAGAGAGAGAGAAGGCAAATTCACACACTGACAACAGCAAAATATACAAACATTAGTTTTCTTGGGTGCACATTATATACAAGCTGTCTTTTTTCCCCCCAAGACTCAGTTGTGCTACTTTAAAAGCTCATGTTTTTTTCACACAATTCTTATGCTTTTTGAATGTTGGCATTAACATACAGCCAGTGCATCAGTTTGTCAGGAAGCTGAACCATGTTTTGGGTTTCTCACACAGAAAAATGTGTTCTTTTTAAGAGTGTACAGAAGTAATCGATAATATCAGTGATGACAGCTCAGTGAGTTCCATTTGGTAAAGAAGGCTGTGACATGTGGTCAAAAGGTCCAGGAATAGCTACAAAATCGGACCTGGCCTTTAGAATCTTCACTAAAGAGGTCGAGGATAAATCAAGTAACACATTCTGTGTTAAATATAAAAGTGATATTTAATTAGGTATATTTTAACATTTAGCTCTAAATAAATTTTTACACATTTTGGAAGTATTTTTGTAAAGTGTTTTATATTTAGTATTTTATAATTACACACTGTCATATTTATGTACTTATACACTATAGGTAACAAAGAAATTACATATTAGACATATTGAGTGACAGTCTTAAAAGAAGCTTTTACATATTTGGTCCTATGTGCCTTCTTTATTTAGTGACCATACTTTTTGTTTATGTTAGGTTTTATATTCTTTTGAACCGTCTCAGACTCAGTTTATAAAACCGATGTACAAACAAGATCGATTTTATCCTTATGACATATTTAGCCTTATGGTGATTCACGATTAATATGCTTAAGTGAGTGAGAAATCACCTAAGAAGAAATGAATGCATCTGTTTCATCCAATCCTCAGGTCAAA